AATGTTCTAGAAATGCCAACGTGGTGCTTCCCCATTGGATGGATTATTTTGATACCTATGTGCTTATTGGTTGACCTAAATAATAATTTACTTTCAGCCAAAAACTATAAATACACGAGATTTCTGTGCTATACTTGGACATTGTTTGGGGCAATAAACTTCCTGCTTACCAGTCTTTGTCTTCTCTCTTTTGCGACGTTTGCGGGTTCTATCGTTCAAAGAGTCAAGTAGTTTCGCGGCATATTAAGAATCAAGGCTCTAGACATAACAGTAGAATTATGAGGTTACAGATTTAAGTAGTTTGGAAGATAATTACCGCAACAGATTATTATGGAACAGCCTTTTGGACAAATAGACTGTCAAAAATTCGATGATTGATTCAGCGAAATGGGGAGGTTATTCCGGATATTAAACGAGATATAGTATATATCGCGATTCTTGTAGCGAAACACGTCACTGACAATATTCCATATTTACTCTATTGCTGGACAATCAAAACATATGAGCATTAATGTCGAGTTAAATACCAGTTTTGTAAGATTATTGGAGTAGTTAGTCTTTATTCTTCAAAATGTTGTGCTATGTATTTGAATCACACCGAGAGTATTGGTTGCTTCATAAGTGATTGTATATCTCACTTAGTTATATCAACTCGTTTCAGGAATATTCTTGATGTACCATAGTGTACGTCAAGATTCTGCTTTTTGCTGCTTATCATTCCCTATTTATACGCATTTATGAACAGATCAGCACAGATAACTCCAGTATTCTATCACAGTGAATGTAATGTCAATGAACAGCTGAAGACAATTCAGAGACATTCAATCGGAATACATTTCGAAAATTCACATTCCAAATCTGACTGTATATTGAGCTATTAACGCAAAATCATCTTCGCGATTATTGTAGCGAAATTTCATAATCACACATGATAAGGAGCCACTGTGCAACTCTTTGTGATGCTGCTGACGATGAAGACTAAAGTAATTGGCAGGCTATCAACGGATTCTTCTACAAATGCTTCATAATGGAGACATTCATTTCGATACTGTTGCAAAATTAGGAGGAAATTATATTATCAAACAAACCGGAAATATTATTGATAGTTCCTTAGCTTGATGAAGTGAGGATACAGACATATCTTCAAGATGACGATAACTGAACTCATTTGATACTAGATGAGTAATAATTACAGTGTTTATGCATATCTGATGCAAGGCCATCTATGAGTACACATGAAAACTGTTTGTTTAAACTTCAGTCTCTCTATACTTAGTAGTAACCATTTTTAAAAATGAAAAATTATTTCACCTATGTTCCGTATACTCAAGTGACTGTCGGTCATACGAAAGCATCATTAGTAAACAACATTCCACATCATATTGAACATTTATATCAGGCTAAATATACAAATGAAAAAACCATCATATATATTTAGTTAGATTACAAGGTAGTGGATAAACAACAAGAAAGTTCAATCAATGACATTTGCAAAAACAATATCTGAGGTCAACAAACTGATGTTTTTTCTTTCTTATAATCACACGATCAGGTAGTATATACTAATATCATCATCATCATCATTGTTATTACCTTGATAAAAGTATTTCATATGAAAATAAAGCACATTAGATAGGAAGAACACAAATAGGAAATGTGATATGTAATATTGAAATAGATATTCCTGTCTGATTCGTCATTTAACAGTCCTCAGTGTAAAAAGATTTGAGTGTGCAAATGTAGTGCATGTTGTGATTAGCTCAAACAAATATGGTAGATCAAGAATAATATCTTTTTGTTGGAAAACATTACCTTCCTGATCACTTCAACCATTCTCCTTTGTTGCCTTATACATTATGGTCTCGAGTACAGTGTAATTGTAAAAGATTAGCGTTCACTTGACTCTAATGAAGATGACGAAGTGTCAACAAATAAAATAACAAACAACTAGTAGACTGTTATCTCGCATCACATTCTCTCTCGAACAATCACCAAATAGCATAATACCTATTGAAGCTGTGTTCCGAAATCGAATCCGTCAAACAGCATCAGTTCCCACAAGAATACAGGTATAGCTTGCTGATTAGTGACAAGTATCAGGATATTCATGTTCAAATTTTGCTGTTGATCACCTCCAAGCATCATCTTATCTGTTTACTCAGTTGAAGATTTGAGTGAATCGACTACTTGGTATACTTAAAAAACACTTTGATAATAAAATTTCCTTAATATTTATTTCAAATTCAATTGTTCTGTAAACTCTAGGTTGATTGCATAATTGTGAATGTTCGAATAATGGTGGATAGTGTGTGTTGGGTTTATTAAAGCATCTGAATCGGGTGAGTTTGTATAAGTTCAGTTCGTTGAGCGTGATAAGAATTTTAGGAATGATAATGAATGTCACACTATATCATTACATTCATATGACTGATAAACATTGATGGTAACCGACACTACAAGATCATAGATAATAATCAACATGGGGCAAAGAGGCTAACTATGTTTCTACTAATATCGTCAATTGAAATCATACATTTCTTGTTAAAAACAGCTTTTTCATTAGCATTAATTGAAATTGTAGTAAAGGAGAACACTAGTGACGATAAACGTATGTACTTGAATAGAGAATTACAGAATCCCCCAGAACAATCTGAGAACCATACAGTATATTCTTTTTTCGTAAAATGTCAACCAATTGTCTCAGACTTGGTTGTTTATTCGTCTCAACATCAATCATTCCCTGTTCTAGTTGTCATTCTCTTTCCTTTGAGATTCTCAGCTCTCTCTATCATCAGGCATTTGACTTTGTTTCATGAGATATACTGCTTATATCTGTTGACGTCAGTGAACACTTATCTCCGGTGATGTTTGGTAATTTATACGTTACATTATGGACTGAGCTTGATTAAGGAATAGTCAGTTGATCAGTTGCTATTATCCCTTATTTGTTATAAGGAATATGGATAAGAATGATTTGTGATGTTCCTCACAAAATTGATTTATCATAATAAAACAATTAATAGTTATTGAATATTTATGGATGGAGATTTTTATTCTCCCATTTGATTACTAACATCCAGTTAAGTATTATCTGATTGTCAAATATGATTTCATAATCTTCAATGAACAATAGTATCTAATACTTTTCATTCTTTATCAAACAACAAGGGCATCATTTCAATGTGTGTATCTTTAAATAAGAAAGATCTAGTTTTATGTGTAAAGCTAATACATGAAACGCTAAAAACCTGAAACGTGTAACGATCTCAAAATTACTTATTTATATCTATTACTCGTCATGAAGGAGCATAGGTCAACCAACAGCAGTACTACTGCATCCTACTCTTATGACCAACACTTTCCAGTTGTTTCCAGTTGCGGCTGCTTCCAATTCTGGAAGTAGTGTGCTTTTTGACCTTACACTTTTCTGTTTACATTCATGCTTTAAAGTAGGGTCTGACCTCGTAATGCAGTTTGATGATTTCCTCGAAGTAAGCTCTATCCCATCTAAACTTTTTTTTCCAAATTTCCTCTCTAGCCGAAAGTTAGTCTCAATCGTTTCGAAAAACATTTTTGATCATTCAGTCAATTTTCAATCAAAGTATTTTTGAAATTGCCTACCGTGATTATTCATTTTAAGATTCATTTTAATTTGTTTTAAAGGAGACACACAGCAGTGTGTTTGCACGGTCCTGCATAATGGACTCTAATACAAGGTATTTGATTTAACTCATGCACAGTTACCTTTTGTACCACTGAACTAGCATCCAATCATATTAAATCGGTAACAACATACGCATGTTCTCTGGTATTCTTAGATATTTTTCTCATGACTTTCGACGATTTTAGATTTCTCCCTATTGACTCCATTTTTTCATCAAGCTAATGAATTATTACTAACATAACCTATTGATATGAAGGTACTGAATAATATCCATGCGGCCAATAACCTATGGCGTAAAAATGAAAGTTCATCCACAATTACATGGGACTTCTCATATATTATTCTCCTAGATAAATCATATTTATATTTGATTATATTTCAATTATCAGCTCATCAATTAGTGATGTTCTTAAGAACGTTGAAACGTAACCCCACGGTTCTATGGACAACTGCTTGTGGCCCATCGCGCACACTCTTTTTATTGTAGAGAACTTGATGTGCTGGCTTTGTGCTTCAAAATGACCTTCCACCGGAGACATAAGTTGATGGGATAAGGTGAAGTATCACACATTCTGAGTTGTCTCTTTTTCTAATCATTGCATCAGTTATGATAAAGCAATATTACTTTACATGTGTGCGGTTTGATGATAGCACATTATTGCTGTCACAGGCTTATGTACTCATTAGCTCGACATTGCCGTCGAGCATTAAGTTACTAATTTTAGTCTTGCTAATCTCACTACAAAAGGTTTGACAAAGTATGACGGTAAGCAATACAATTTTTACCCTACATATATTAGTTGATTTATGACGGTAGGCAGGCCTGATCAACACGTCAAGGTAACAATTACGTTCAGTCTCATTGTTTATATACATCATTATTTAACCACGTTAGAAAACGTTCTCAAGCACGTAGAAAATGCTTACTTCTAAGAGGTGAATAAATTATTACACGAAGAGTAAGATGAATATTCTATGTAATTCATCTATTTAAAGTCCGTATGAATATACGACAGATGAATTTTGCTAGTTATAACTTCACCAGATTAAGTAATTTTCAAACGATAATCTTTAACTACTCAAATGAAATTTCAGTAGATGTTCACTACACAAATAATTGTGTTCATATCATTCACTGTATTAATATTATTATTATTATTATTATTATTATTATTATTATTATTATTATTCAATTATTCGGTCGGTTAAAAATAAATTGAGTTCTCATTAGATAATAGAAATGATAATTGAAATTAACAAGAATGATTGACTATCACCGAATCTTTATCTGTAATTGAAATAATGGACCCCATCATAACAATAATGTGTATGATGGATGTTATTATCATCATCATCATCATCATCATCATCATCATCATCATCATCATCATCATCATCATCATCATCATCATCATCATCATCATCATCATCATCATCATCATCATCATCATCATCATCATCATCATCATCATCATCATCATCATCATCATCATCATCATCATCATCATCATCATCATCATCATCATCATCATCATCATCATCATCATCATCATCATCATCATCATCATCATCATCATCATCATCATCATCATCATCATCATCATCATCATCATCATCATCATCATCATCATCATCATCATCATCATCATCATCATCATCATCATCATCATCATCATCATCATCATCATCATCATCATCATCCTAATTCGTCATTATAATGGCAAGTTGATGAGTGACCATGATTTCGATGACTTCCAGTTCAAGCTGAATTCAGAGCGTTTTTGAAGAAATTGAAGAAGAGGATTCATGAAATTTGTTTATACCATATCCTATAAGACTTTAAAAAGCAACTTAAGTAAACAAACAGATAGAGATTCCCAAATTTGTTCTATTCTCTCCTCAAATTAAAAAGAAACAAAGAAAGAGATTACCTTCATGTTATACAATGTTGTTTTGATCAATTCTACAAACCTCAATTGAAGTCAATAACATGAATGATTAGTAATGTATCATATGTTGTATGAAAGAAGATGAAGATTCATAGTAGAACTAGATAATTACATTATACACAATGTACATTGACCACGACCTCATTTCATTATGAATGGTTTTATAACGAATGATCTTTTAAAGGTATTGAGACTTCGCATTAGTATCTCTTAAAAATAATCAATAGTTGTCTTTTGTTATTTAATATGCTTGAGTATAAATTTATTTTACTACGATGACTACAAACTCATCAGCAAACGCGTCAATGTCCGACTACTTTGACTGTTGTAAGCCAAGTTTAACAAATGGAAGAAAAGCATTACTTCAGACCATAGAAGTAGGAATTACGCCCATCAGCTGAATTGACGAGCTTTAGGTCTTGTGAACTGTATAATACCCTTAAACCACTGACACAGCATACAGTGATTTATTAACTGATATCAGTTAACAGGTGGTGTGGCAATATCAACCTGTTTTTGCTGAGGAGTCACAGATTAAGATGAACCGCGGTTCAATATATCATGGTTGTCAGTGGTTTTCTAGCTTATATTAGTTCGTGATGTTAATTCAATTCAACGTTCAGTACAAATCATTATTGATGAAAGGTAACAATTGTGCATTATTTATTACTTTTGTAAAATAACAATGACAAGTTTGATGTAGTTCATTGTCAGTAAGGTAAACATAATTTCGGATGTTTTTTTATTTCGTTTAACATGGCTATGTCAATCAATAAATCAATATTTTTTTGATGGTGAACATAAGAATATCTGTTAGCACAATGTTTAAAAGGTCAAAATGTGGGGGGGGGAAAGGATAAGAACGGAAATCAGTTGATGTGGAAATGGAGGAACACATGAAATCTGAGATAGTTGATTGACAATTTTGCAAATAAAGAGACTGGTAGATCCTGGGTTCGAATCCTGCGACAGCGGGTTCGTGGATGCGCACTATTGAGGAGTCCCATAATAGGACGAAACGGCCGTCCAATATTTCCAGGTTTTCCATGGTGGTCTAGCTTCAATTGACTCACGCTTTCAACTATGAAAAATAAAGTGTAAGCTGTATTATTATGCAATTTTACTAAGATATTCTGTAAATCTACTTTAACATACATAAGACTATCTCTATTTGTGTTCGCATACACTACTACTTGAATGATTTTAAATATCTTTGATAATTATTTAAAACTCTACTATTTTACCACATGCTTACTACATCCTTAATAAATCAACTAAAAATGCGTCGTCAAACTAGTCAATGTAACACCTTGAGACAATGAGTAAGGGAGAGTGTGCTTCATTCTGTGTGGTTGACACTTGTCAACCCATTTTGTCTGCAACCCACATATTGATGTTCACACTAAGTTAAGCAATCGGCATACATGAGTTGATGATTTGGATGATGATGATGATGAAAAATGCGTTTGTACATTGTCAGAAATTTAAATGATCAAAGAGAAACTTCACTGAAAAGTCTTCATTTGTATGAATGTTGACTGGTGTTATTGAGATAGATATTGACGCATGATTCACAATTCCATAAAGCTTAGAGTTGACTGTTTATTTCGTTATTTTTCATATTTTGCCTTCTATAGTTTTGTTAACTGAACACACACCTTTCACATTTATAATTCATTGAAGACCATATTGCCCAGTCAAAAGGAATATGTATGATTAAAATGATTCAGAAAATGACATTGTGCGGCAGAAACGAATTACAACCAATAAACCGTATTTATTTCATCTCAACATAATATGAGCCTCTACAGTCTTCTCACTGAGGACTATTACATCGACAATTTAGTTATGAATGAGTGTATAAGTGTCTGTGACAATTCATATACAGATATTAGGTATATCATCTGTCGAGACATTAAGATTTTTTCAGATTTATCAATTAGAGTGCTCAGAACACTGTTTTCACGTTGTTATTTGTGAATTCATCTCCAACACATACCACATAGTTATCTCTACGTTAATTTACACTGTCGGGAAGTTCGAGAAAGTTCTTATGAATATTCTTTTCTGAGTCTTTAGCTAAGGAAGGGCATCATGACTTGGTGAAACGTATACAAACTGGTTTGTCTAATGTTACTGTGGATTGTGTGCCGAATTATAATATATAAGTGAATATGCATAATGACGAAGTGAGTGTGAACACGCAGTTAATAAATATGAAAAAGAGTTCAATGTCTGTGTCGATGTTGTTTTATCTGAAAGCAATTAAAGAGTGGTTTGTATTAGATATCGGAACGTTTATCACTACCGTGTAATCTAATCTAACTAAATCTGCTGAAGTTTCATTTGAGTAGTTAAAGATTATCGTTTAAAAATTACTTAATCTGGTGAAGTTATAATTAGCAAAATTCATCTGTCGTATATTCATACTTACTTACGTCTGTTTTCCCTCGTCGAGGAGCATAGGCCTCCTGGTACTGATAACAAACTGATGCCTCTGTAATTCTCACATTGGCTCAGATCTCCTTTCTTTGATATCTTGATGAGATATCTATCTTTCCAGTCCGTTGGCACTTGTTCCTCTTCCCAAATCTTCTTGAATAGAAGGTGAAGCATGTTTGCAGTTATTTCAATGTCTGACTTCAGTGCTTCTGCTGGTATATTGTCAGGTCCTGCCGCCTTCCCACTTTTGATTTGTCTGATGGCCATCTTGACTTCTTCGATCGTTGGTGGAGTGACAGATATAGGAAGGTCAGTGTGTGCTGCTCCGATGTTCGGTGGATTCAATGGGGCTGGTCTATTCAACAGTTCCTCGAAGTATTCTGCCCATCTTTTTCTCCGTTCTTGAATCTCAGTGATTGTCTTTCCTTCTTTGTCTTTGACTGGTCTCTCTCGTTTACTATATCTCCCTGCCAATTTCTTCGTTGTATCATATAGTTGTCTCATATCCCCTTCTCTTGCAGCTTTTTCCGCCGTCGTTGTTAGTTCTTCCATGTATTTCTGCTTGTCGGCTTTAATGTTTTTCTTCACTTCCCTGTTTGCTTCTGCGTAGTCTGCTTGTGCTTTGACTTTCTCTGCTCGTGTTCGGCTGTTGTTAATTGCTAGTTTCTTGTTCTTCCTTTCTTGAATTTTGTCCAGGGTTCCCATAGAGATCCATTCCTTGTGATGATGCTTCTTAGGACCAAGAACCTCCTGGCACGTTGAAGTTAGTGCTTCTTTTATCCCTTTCCAGTTGTCCTCCAAAGTAGTTTCTTGTTCTTTCAGTAGATCCTGTGGAGCTTGGAACCTGTTGTTGAGAGTTATCTTGAATTCGTTGAGGTTGCTAGTATCTCGAAGGAAGGCTGTATTGAACCTTTGTAGTGCTGTTTGTCCAGTTGTCCAGTGTTTCTTTCGCTTCAGTCTCATCTTGGCCACAACCAGACAGATAGTGATCTGAAGCTATGTCAGCTCCTCTCCGGGTTCTCACATCTTCCATTGATCTTCGGAATATTGTGCCGCCTATAACCAATTTGTTGAAAGCACATACATTTGCAAGTCTCTCCCCATTTACATTTCTCATCCCAATCCATGTCGTCCAATTACATCTTCATATCCTGTGTTGTCCACTCCAACTTTAGCATTTAGATCTCCCATAAGGATGGTGAGGTCCTTTCGTGAACATTTCTCTATAATTGATTGCAGCCTTTCATAAAACTGATTTTCGTCGTTGATATCATTGGTGGGTGCATAACATTGGATAACGTTCATTGTGATCCCCTCCTTCTTTGTTATGAATGATGCTTCAATTATCCTGGGTCCATGAGATTCCCATCCCACAAGTGCATTTCGTGCTTCTTTGGACAGCATTAGAGCAACTCCCTGAGTGTGTGGAGCAGTTTGCTCCTCGTGACCGGAGTACAGCAGCATCTCTATTGTACCTAGCCTTTGATGTCCAGTTTGCGTCAAATGGGTTTCGCTGATTCCGAGTACTGCCAAGTTGTATCTCCTAAATTCCATTGCTATTTGGCTGGCCTTTCCTGTCTCCCACATTGTCCGGACGTTCCATGTACCTATAAAGAGTGTTGATCTGGTTGTTAGAAGGTGCATCGGTCTCGTGACTTCCGAAGAATTTCGGCTTTCATCATGAGACATCATAATTATTCCTTCAACTTGGAGGGCAGAGTTTAAATGGTTTGAATTATTTTTTCTGGTTAGCGTTTTTTTAGCGAGTTAGCTTTTCTACGGGATGGGGTCGCTAACCCCATGCCCAAACCTCCTCCTTTACCCGGGCTTGAGACCGGCAGTAATTCTAGAAGAGCTACAGGCGGATTTGGTTGAAGTGATCAGGAAGGTGATATTTTCCAACAAAAAGATATTATTCTTCATCTACCAAATTTGTTTGAGCTAATTAAAACATGCACTACATTTGCACACTCAAATCTTTTTACACTGAGGACTGTTAAATGACGAATCGGACAGGAATATCTATTTCAATATTACATATCACATTTCCTATTTGTGTTCTTCCTATCTAATGTGCGTTATTTTCATATGAAATACTTTTATCAAGGTAATAATAATAATGATGATGATAATAATAGTATACACTACCTGATCGTGTGATTATAAGAAAGAAAAACCATCAGTTTGTTGACCTCAGATATTGTTTTTGCAAATGTCATTGATTGAACTTTCTTGTTGTTTATCACTACCTTGTAATCTAATCTAACTAAATCTACTGAAAATTCATTTGAGTAGTTAAAGATTATCGTTTGAA